CGGTTAAGATGGTAAAAATGTGTGTATGTCATGTGAAGGAAATGTGACAGACATCTAACTAACTATAACCCTATAAAACTGGTTATTTGGTATCGGAAGGAAGTAGGAAATTAAACCTTTAGGGTCCCAGTTTGCTGCATAACAAGGGAAACAAAACCACTTTATTTAGTAGATGCTTTTATCCAAAGCAAAGTGAACCAGTCCCTACATCAGCGGGAGCTTAAGAGCCTCGCTGAGAGGCCCAACAGCAACATCACAAGGCCGACCACGAGACTGTGACCGTGAGACTGTGACCACGAGACTGTGACTGGCGGCCTTCTGATCACTGGCATGGTGATCAGCTGCTTGCATCCTAAGCCACTGAGAAACACGTCACCCCATTGTTACAGACTGTGCAAATTGTAGGATATCGGTAATGATTCATACATTTTCTATTCCGAGCAGTTTGAGTAAGTTTCAGATTCAGTGGATTGACCAAGTTTTGGGAATTTGAGGGGGATTTTTTCCGGGACAGTACCAGGGTATTTCCTCGATCCAAATGTCACTCCAGAACCCACACACAGTGTTTCTTCATACTTTCAAGCAAGTGTTTGGAAAAAGTTCCTCTGGTCATCATCTAGGGTGGCAATGACCTGGGTGTATATTTGGGACACAGCTAAGTGTGTAAGTATAGTGTGTTTGTCTGTATGTGTATTTCGGCTGCATGTATAGGGTGCGTATGGGTGATGTGCAGATGGCTGCATGTATAGGGTGCGTATGGGTGATGTGCAGATGGCTGCATGTATAGGGTGCGTATGGGTGATGTGCAGATGGCTGCGTGTATAGGGTGCGTATGGGTGATGTGCAGATGGCTGCGTGTATAGGGTGCGTATGGGTGATGTGCAGATGGCTGTGCGTATGGGTGATGTGCAGATGCTGCTTTCTCTCCCTCCCATAATCCCTTTGTTACTGGTGTTCCCTCCAGTACAGCTTCATCTACAGACGCCCCAACTAGTTCAGCCATATACATCGCAACATTCAATGGCCCCAATGAAATTTTGTAGCAGGGAACAATATCATGGAGGAAAGCCCAGACTCAGTGTAGCACACAGCCATCTTATGCTTAGATGAAAAGGTCCAGCGTTCAGCAGGCTCATTACTCTACAGCAGTAATGAAGCATCACCCACTACGTGATAATTAATTTAATCAGCGGTAATGGCTGTAACGGTACAGCATGTGGGTTAATGAGGTATGATTGATTGGGCGTTGTTATTCCACAATAGCGATTCAGTAACAGGAGTAAGTGGATTGATAGCATTGGGTTGTGATGGAACAAACAAAAATTGCCCATCTTGTCGTTGCGTCCCGAGTGCAGCTGTGGTCACTGCTCTGAGGGTGGTGTGCATGGTGGCTCAGTACCCCACACCTCCATGGGTTCTGAATAGGGGCTGCAATCTGAGGCATAGGAGCAGCCAATTGCCCCCGGGCCCCGAGCTGGGAGGGGCCCTCAGGGGCCGCTGATTATATAGTACCCTGCCATCACAAATCTGCTTTATTCATGTAATTCTGTTTTTCACAAAAGTCTAAATAAAGGACTCGTGTTTATTAACTTCTAAAGTAATGGTAATAAATTTACCATGTCAGGGAGGGGGATTGGAGGGGTCCATGGAGTTTTTTTTTTGCCTGGGACCCCCCGAGTCCCTAGAACTTCCCCTGGTTGCCCCCAAGCGTGACACTGCATTGACCACATCATCTACACTTCTGCTTGCATTCAAAGTCGAATGGGAACTGCCACTCTTGCCTGCATGCAGATATAAATAATGATGTAAATGTATCTGTAATTATGAGTCTTTAGACTCTGAGCAGTAATAATGTAAATTAAAAGCTCATTGGAAATAACAGCAGTGGCTCCCTCATTAGGCTGCTCTGTAGTGTAGGTGAACCTGGCCTGTGGGCTTTAGGATTAATTTCACTCGCCACAGATTCTTATCTGAACATCATCCAGGGTCACGGTGAGCCTGAACCCTATACCAAGACACACAGTAGCCACAGGCTCATTTTACTTGCACAAAAATGTTCTGAGGGCAGAATGAAAAATTATTGGTTTACAGAAATAACCAATTAGATTATAGAGGAGGTGGGTCCAAGCAACGAGAGAACTAGGGCCAACCAGTCAGACGTCTTGGTCCACCTCCTGTAGTTGCTTGGACCCACCTCCTCTGCAATCTGATTGGTTATCTCTGCACACACCCGCAGACTCTGGGAAATACAGAGCCAACACTTCACCTAAGTATACGAGGAAATATGGGAGGAAACCTATACAAAGTCCACAGTGAAAGCGAGCATTATCAGGTTGGCTGGGGTGACCTTTGAGAACATGTTTCAGTCAGACACAGGCCCAGGTGACAAACATAAAGAAGGGAGAAGTCTTAGAAGGCAAGACTAGGAGCATTTCATTCAGAGGAGTCTGTCACAGTGAGACCTTGAGGACATTATAATTAATACTGTCATTTAGCTAACTGAGAGTTCTAATTAAAACTGATGTTCCCATCTAATTTGCCAAGGCTCACAGGTGGATCCAAATTAACACACAAATAGAGGTAAATTACCTGCACACGGCGCCTTAGTCATCGTCACGTCTGGAGAAGATATCGTATTTAAACACCCGGTGTGACAGTTAATGAATCACAGCTTAAACACACTCATCCGATTCAGCTTCAGCAGCCATATCCCAGCATTCCCCGCGACGGAGTGTTTAGGGGCTCGGTACAGGAAAAGCTTCACTGGGGCTCTTTATGCATCGGCGTTTCCAATAATATTGAGGCTAACGTTACAGTAAAACAGAATATTGTTTGTAAAAACTGGGTATCCATAAACTAATGTGCAAATAAATGACATATCAAACGTGTGTTGTAACACTTTTTTACACTTTATTGTTTTTCAAAACAACATAATATACCGAAGTCTAATCGCAAACATTGGTTAAATATCCATACTGAATTAGGTGATTTAATATAGGTTTAACTGAATAGCAGCATTGCGTTTTCTGTTTTCTAGACTTTATATCTATAGTTAATAATTAAACTGGTATGGGGGTCACTTGGTATATATAGGTCAGTCATTCCACTTCGATAAGTAACCAGTTCTTTGCATTTCTTTTTATTTCCAGGACATTACTGTTCAAAGTCGCGGTGCTTAATTCCCATCGCTCATAATAAGCTGTCACTCATTGTAAAGTGACTGTCACGCCATATTGCCGAGCAGTAATGACAGTCATCAATCCGCTGTTGGCTGTTTTGTAACCATTATAACACAAACGTGCCTTTTACTCCAACTTTGCGAAAGAGGCGATTGGAAGCCCCACCAGCTCCGCTCCTCCGGCAGTCCGTCTAACAGACACATAAAAGCTAATGTTCCTGCTAATCCAAATGTCCGCTTTCTCCTCAAAACGCACGATATGCCAGATTTTTGTGTCACACGGGGACCTTTACATTTCAATACACAATATTACGTTTTTTTTCCAATCTCTCCGCGTTATGACGGTTCAAGCGGACTCAAGTGGACGCGGCAGCTTGTTCCTTGTGGTGCTTCCGTTTGCCATCTAATAAACCGGTAAAGGTCACCTGTAATGCACGCCATATATAATGTTAGTCGAAATAACTTTAATTTCGCTACTTCTTGACATGCACATTCAGAAATCCAATAAATCCTTGTCTTCATGCATCGATTTATTTTCCCTGCCACTCAGCCAGATCATGTACTTTCGACGCTAGTTTGCAGCGATCGAGTTGTTTAACCTATCATTGTATGGACATGTCCTTATCTTATCTCCCAAGGCTCCAGCAACACGCCTGCATGGCTGCTCTCCAGCTCTTTGGCCGGAGCTTGACGTAAATTACAGGTGTCATATCATTTACTAGAGCATGAAAGTCATTTACTGTTATTCCCGTGGACTGGGGGCTCCATTGGAAATTGTCACACCGTGTCTGAATGGTGATGCGGTTTCTCTCCCTACGACATTGTTTTATTTCCTTTTTAAACGCAAATTTAGAAACACGATTTTCAGATCGTAAGGACCGTATCACATTCGTGCAGACATCTCTATAAAATTGAGAAATAATGATAATTCGGCCACATTTCGTCCATCTTGCTATGTGAGCTGAATACCTGAGACCGAAAGACCTTTGTTTATCGTGTTTAAACTGGACTTCAGTTCGAACTACTGTTTTCTTTTTTCGGAGATTCACTAAGGCGTAAGTTAACTCCGAGACTGAGAAGGCAACATTCAAAGCTCAGTGCAATTTTATTGTCATTGATATTCCCGCACAGCTCTGACCAACAAGTGCAGACCAGCTGTGTAGCTGTGTAACGACAAATGAAATAAAACCCACTTTGATCGTTTTGGAAGGAAATTGGTGGTATGAACGACACTGTAGGTTTAGATAAGGCCCATAAAAAATAAAGGTACATATGGTGAGAATGAAATGAACATTCATTAGAATATGCATCAGTGATTTTTTCTTTCAATGGTAAAGTTCAAATATATTAATCGGAAGCACTTTAATACATATTATAATCACTGTGCAGATTAACATGAGGAGCACTGAGCTGTTCCACAGGTAATCTCCTGCATTATGGCTGTTTTGGATGAACTGCGAAGTGTGTATGTGGCTAGATAGAACTGCTGCTTCTAGTAGGACTATATGAGTCTATGGTCCACATTGTGTTTATCAGATACTTTCCGTAGTTCCGTCTTAATCTTATAATCAATGTACCACCATCTGCTGCCGTAATGTCAATTTAAAACAAAATGCAAGTCATACATATTACAAAACGCAGCCTCCAAGGCCAAATAAAAAGAAATTACGTGGCACTGGGCAGGTTTTTTGTGTAAAACTTTTTATGAACTTATAACAAGGGCGGCAACCAAAAGATACTGCCGGCGTTGTGGTTTCAAACTCAAACACACCGCATTTCTCCATTACTGCGGCCACCAGTTAGCAGTAATGATACCAGGACATTCACTTTCCACAGCAAATATTTTAATGCTATCATGCTAATTTCAATAAAAATGTGACATGAACAACACAGCATGTACAGGGTGTAACATCATGTGACAGTTTCATAGTCTTTCAAGGTCAAAGGTCAAACACAGAAGTAATATGATCAAACCCAAACAAATGCATTTATTTTACCCAGTTTCCTGTTTCTAGAAACTTCCCCTGGCCTCTGAGGGGAAGGGGGGCACTGTTACTGTCACTGTTAGATGACGATCCTGACTGAGCCCTTAAGGATCCTGCCAAACAGTGAGGCAGGTCAACAGGTGCTCCTCTTCCATTCGTGGATTGACTTTAACAAACAGCAGCTGCTATTTTGTCTCATCTTACTCACAAAGGCCAAATGGAGACCACTTCACTTCCGTTATCCACACAAAACAATGGCCTGTACTTAGCAAATCGACCTTAATGTTCTGTCACCGTTTAAACACGTTTAAATTAAATATCTTTTACTCAAAATGTTTTTTCTTTTAATTGGACCACTCATTAATGAGTATTAAATAGAGGTTGCGGTCAGTCATCATCTTGTAAACATGAAAAGGAACTAGAATGAACTGAACTTAAGCTGTGGCAGATAAATATTTTTGCTTTTTTTTGTTTTTATTTAGTGGACATCACTTAGTAACAGAGTTTCCCAGATCACACTCACACTGACAGTCACACTGACACTCACACATAGCTAGAAAAGGTAAAAACTTCCATCCATAACATCCACACCAAGCCAGTAGCCTCAGCATGCTTGGTCTATCGCTGGATGATATTCATGCAGCACGGACCTCACGTTTGACCTGTTGCAGTGCGTGATTGATTACTATGACACCAAGAAGGGAGAGAGAAAAACACACAACAGACAGACAAACAACACAGATATGCTGACAACGCGGCCAGACATAGAAGCTGAGCTGTAAACACCGACGAGGGAAAACCTGAATGCGAAAGGCCACCCAAGACTCCGAGAGCCCGCAAGCGGAGGAAAGAAAGACATCATCAAGCATTTACAGGAACATGGGACAGAACCTCGGGACAAGAGGAAGAGAGCTGCTGACTGGTCACCTGATAGTAAGAAGCAGGTCTCAGCTGCTGTCTGCTCCGTGTTTCGTTAGACCTCGCACCATAAAGCTTCATGTCACAAGACAGTTTGGTTTAAAAAGACTGACCCGTTTAATAACCTGATAATCCCTAAAAACGGCGGGGAAAACAATAAAGGAATGCAGGAAGTCTGATATGTGTCCAGGTCTCATTGTGTCATGGTGCTTGTGGCGTGTATACAGCATGTGTGTGTTTCTGTGGGTATGTGTGGCTCTACGCTGTTATTCAGCTGAGAATTGCACTTGGCAGACCTGTACTCCAGGGGAGGGGGGGGGGGCGCCTTAGGCGCAGAGCGTCGTGGGTACGGCCCAGGCTTGGAGGGTGGCTTGGTGTCACCAGTAGAAAGAGCGGGACAAGAAATTAGTGGCAGTATTGAGCCAGCTTGCACCCTCCTGAGTGGAGCCCACCCGCGTCACCGCCTTATCCGGCTCCTGGGACGGACTCTCCTCCTCGGGCAGGTAGTCTGGGAGGTCTACATTCTGCTCCACTGGCACCAAGCCATCCTCTGGGAAGGGGATCATTACCTGCAAACGCACATATAAACAAAACATGCCTTGTGGTGAACCCGTTACTTCCCGCTGCAGCTTCCACTTGTCACATTCTGCCACCTGCTGGCCAAAGACAAAACTGCATGTATTCCTAAATTATTACAATATATTTTTCACTATTATTTCAATACTTAGCAAATAATTTATCCATACTTACACATTTTTAGTAAAAATGAAATACAACACATGCCATAGGTTGTAATGCTGAGACCTCTGCAACACATGTTATTTGGCTATAAACGTTTTGAATTCTTTGAACACTACCAGCTTCGGTCAGCACTTAATTAATAACTTAGTCAGCAGTCATAAAAGATATCACAGAAAAGGTCGAAATTAGATTTCTGGTTTAAACTTAAACTAGGATCACCCAGAACAAATCAATATAACTCATCCTCACAGAGATACCTCACTCATTTTACTAATTATGGTTGTGTTCAACAGGTTGCACGATACGTTAAAATCTGTCACACCATGGTCATTGTTTGGATATGTTGTCATACACATCATCATCCTTCGGTCCATCCATCAATCTTTTAATTGCTTATCCTGGCTAGAAGGGCCTATTCCGGACAGCAGAGAGTACCAGGCTGGGATACACCCCGCAAGGGATGCTTCTGCATTCTACACTGCATTCTGGGAATATTCCATTAATTCACATATATTCCTGGTAATTCCCATGGAAAGTTTTCAACATGGAATATTTCCAATATTCCCCAACTTAACTTCCCATGGAATGAAAAGTTTCTGAAAATTTACTGCCCTTTTTGCAGCCTTAACTGCAAGTCCTTGCACAGCATAAGGGTCGACGAAAAAAGGGTCGACCTCCGAACACAAAGGTGGGATTCGAACTGCCAACCCAGGTGTGAGGTGACATTCCTGCACCCCCCGAAGCTACCATGCCACTTGTGACTTTACACCAAACTTCAGTGTCTCAAAGCAAGAAAAACTCACTTCGTTTCCATCTTCATTCTTGACCACCTGTTGGGCTTTCATGACTTTCGTGGAGGCGATGGCAGAGCCCAGTGCCTGCAGATGGAGCGAGACACAGCCTTAACCCCAGACAACGCTGGACCGCCCAGCGCACCGTGCAGATGGGTGACGGTGACTCACCTCGGTCTTCAGGTCTGAGCGGATCCTGACGATGCACCTCTTAACACCCATCTGAAAGGTAAAGCTGATCACGCCACGGATCTTGAGCAGGGCCTCTTCACATAGAGTCCTCCGGCTCTGGGACATGCACGTGGAAAGGTGGGATTCAGTCAAGTCAAGTCTTAGCCCTGTAACATGATTTTTCAGAGACATACCGGAGTGGCTGATGGAAGAAGCTAGCTTTCCCTCCATCAGAGTCGCTCACCGGGTCATCCAACCCTTCGATGTGGAGAATCACGGTTTTGGCACGTTTGTTGCTGCTCCCCATGAAGAACTGCGCCTTCCGTCGGCAGGACGCGACCTCATCTGGCTGGTCCTCTGCACTGCCGGAAGCTTGCAAGATCTTGTAGATCTCAGAGGCCAACAGCTTGGTCTCGCCAGGTGTAGTTGTCCTTCCCAGGAGAAAAAAAAAAAGTCCCATAAATGGCAATTTTGTTGGACAAAATGAAGAATAAAAAATGTGATATGAAGTACTGAGGAGCAAGAAAACCAGTATGCGGAAGGGGGCAGGCGGGGGGGCGTCTTACTTCTGGATGACATTCTGCAGGCTTAGCATCATGCCCAGCTCTCCCCTCATCTTCTCCCTGTTGGCACGGCATTCTGCCAGGTACCGCACAGCCTAGGAACACAGGACAGGAATCAGACGAACGCAGGGGGCCGTCCTCTGCATGCGGTCCTTTCTGAGCTGTACCCAACAGCAGCCTCATCACACATAATGTGTATCTTTATTCCTTATTCACAGATGCACAATTCATCCACTTGCTAACTGGAACATTAACGATCAGGTGATGTGGCATAATCTGGATGTCCAGAGATCTGAGGATGAACACCTACTAGAAGTGCGGAGTACACCACTTGGGGGTTGGAGTGGTCTAGGAAGAGGATGAGACCTGGCACGCATCCCTGGTCTTGGACGATGGCTCTTCGGTTTAGGGGGTCGGCGGCTAGATCCCGTAGCTGGTTGACCACGGCCAAAGCATCCGGCTCCCCGCTCATGGTGCGGGCTTAACCTTCCAGACGCATCCACCGGCTGCTGGCGTAGAATGGCGTTGGGAAATGACAGCCTATATAAGTGAACGTCAAAACCCCATTTCGCTTACCGGCACTCTTTTATTAGACTAGTAACGTTAATATAATGACCGTCTATTCTTTGCAGTGATAACCGGGAAAACTGGTCTGCCTACGTCCAGCTTTGTACGGGTAGCTACGTACTCAACAAAAGACAAAGGCTGGACAATGTGCAATACGAACAAAGCGCAATTGCTGCCTAATTGTTTAACACAGGACTCATTGCAAATCAACAGACACAGCTACTGATTTGTCTCTTCACTGGCATAAATGCTGCGATCATACCGGTTTTCTTAGCCTATGTTGCTAACGGTTTAGCTATAATATTCTACTGGATCTATCCATAGTTAATTATGCACTTTAACTTACAGTAATCGATGAGCTGCTGTTAATCAGCCGTGTTAACTGCCAGAGTTTAGTAAGAGTGGTAGTTTAATTTTATAAGCCACGCTATGGATAGCAGTGATTTGCTAGCCGACGAGCTCATTGTTTTAGCACAGGGATCTCCTAAAACACACCCTGAAAATCGGCATACCTCGGTCGGAGACCTCTCTTACGATATCCGACGTATAGGCAGTGGATACACCAGCCTACATGCACTGGGGCTTAATACAGACTCTTCCAATCCACTGTTGTTATATTGATCCGAAAATGACTGACAAAATACACAGACACCAATTTATTAAGAGGTCTACTGTTTTCTGTCAATGGCTCAGTCACCACGCTCTAGTTTCGGGTCTTCTGATTGGATGGCAGGTCGCCTCACTAACAGCCAATCAGAGGAAGGCTTATAAGACGCGAACGTTCGTCATCATAACAATAAAATATCTAGATCGCAGGTACGGCTTTGTCTATGGAGGCTGAACATGCAGCAGGACCGCAGCCGAAAGCTGGGCATCGAAAAATTATTTTTGTGAACTAAGTACAACACAGAATAATTTGCCAATAGCTGTACCTTTTGAATTAATATGTACCATCGTGTTGTTTATAGAAGCATTACCTCGTGAATGGATATGAACGGTGGGTAATGTGTAAGGGGATCCGGGATGCAAGGGAAGATGACATCAGTTTCCCCTGCAGGGTGGCTGGACTAAACCCCAGTGACAGGTTGAGGAGCCTGGCGATTCGGTGGAGGCTCAGAGTACAGTCGGTTCTCCTTTAAACTAAGATGAGCCAGCTGAGGGGGATTGGGCATATTGTCAGGATGGCCTCGCCCTTCCACTGGGAGGAGGCCCTGAGGCAAATCGAGGAGGAATATTCCCCTTTTGGGTCAGGAATGCATGCAATCCCCCAGGAGGCATCACTGCGGAGATGATGTCTGGGCCACTGCACTCTGCAGCAGGACATGCGGTCTGGGAGCAGATGGATAAATGGCTTTTATCAGTTTATTTTTTATTGTTCGAATAACCTGCACCACCTTTGTACTCTTTTCCTTTAGGGCATTTTCAGGTGTGGCTTCCTGTAATATTAAAGTATAGTTTCCAGGGTCATGCAGACTTTCTGTTCCAGGAAGAGATATTTAAATGTAATTCTGAATGGTGTTCTATTGTTCCAGCACTTTCCAGTTATGCTTCTGTTGCATTTAAATGGATAGGTATAGTACACATGCACAGATGCAGAACCCCAGACTTACTAATCGACAGGAAGTTCATTTTGGAAACTTCCTTTTAAATGCAAAGATCTGACATGCGATATATATACTGCATAAAAACAAATGGCTGTACAGCCGTGGCTTGTACATTTTTTTTTTTTTTTTTAGCTTGTGCACAATTTTCCAGAACTTTCCAGTCTGGCTTTCAATCCCCATTCAAACCCAGCCTCAGCACGTCCCCGGGCGCCCCCCAAGCCCCAGCTCCTCCCCGGGCGCCCCCCAAGCCCCAGCTCCTCCCCGGGCGCCCCCCAAGCCCCAGCTCCTCCCCGGGCGCCCGGGTGGCTGCCCTTCGCGGACAGCTTACTCTACGAAGAGCAACCTGAGGGAGGCGTAAAAAGACCATTGATCCCCATGCAGAAATTAAGTATCAATTATTATTAATAATAAATAATAATAACCATCAAACATCACACACACCCAACTCGAAATAGGCAAATTACAGAGCATTCCAGTCAAATACGTCAAAGTCATTTTATTACCCAGAACGGGATTCGCGTTGAGCAAGTATCAAAACAACGACAGCAAAAAGTTTATAAAAATGTTGTTTCCACACCCAAGTCCATCCCCAAGATGGCTATCACAACAGCTTGTAAACAAGTTCATTAAAACAGTCTTACAGAGGGGGGGGGGGGGGGGGGCCCTTGGATCTCTGGGTCCGGGGTCTGATCTGCCATGTAAGAAAAGCACCACTTGTTATTCAGAACAAAAACCCAACTAAATACAACGATCATCTGTACAAAAACAACAAAACATGGAATGTAAAACAGAAACCACTATTTTTTTTTTTTTTTAAAACTAATGCTGACATCAGGGTTATTTTCTCTCTGTCAAAGGCAAGTAATTGGACAGTGCATTTTGGAGATCGCAGTACCCTGCATGAGAGAACGGTCAGGTTTGGTCACTTAGCTTTCTGCATAGTTTAAGGCATTTGGAGCATTGATACAAGCTGCCAGGAGCATTTAAGGAGAGACAGACAGAGGCAGCTCCTGTGGAAGGAACCCAAACTTCCCGTCAGCTCCTTATAGAAGGAAAAACACACGTGGTGATTACCCCTGAGGTCGCTCTTCTTGGATCTCCGTCTGAGGAGGAACGAATGCTTATTCAAGTACTGGAAGGCAGTGAAGGCTTCCTGTCCCCCAGAGAGCATGCTGTTTCGGTTACCATGGCAGCCCCCCCCTTTTATATACCCCAACAAGGAGTACAAAGCACGGTCCAAGCTGGGGGCCAGGGCTGCCTCTTCCCAGGCAACAATCAAGCCGCCTTGACTAGTCTCTCTGCAGGCCGCCCATATCGAAGCAGCCTCACCACTGCACTCCATGGCACGTTGCAGGAATCCCAAGGCAGAACAATGAAAGTCAAAACAACCTTAGGAGGCAGCAGAAAAAGGGCTTTTCACATTTTTTTTCTAAGAGGAAGAAGAAAGGGTTAGGCTTAGGGTTAGGCTTAGGGTTAGGCTTAGGGTTAGGCTTAGGCCTGTGCTCAATACTCAGTGTTTCGAATGACTCTCGATGTGGATTGAACAAAAGATTTGGAAATGGCACTTCTGCCAGCAGGGGGCACTGTGTTCCCTTAGGTCTTCATTCATAGAATGGCATGTTAGTATAACAAACCGTAAAAATAAATTAAAAATATTAAAAATTAAAAATACAGCAGATGAAACATGAGGTATATATGTATTGCTCTATGTAAAGGACATGGGTTAAAATGAATAAATAAATCAGTGTTTTACAGAGCTGGGAGTTGAAAATTACGACAAAGCCATTCCCATGGATGCTTATAGTGGCTGATCAGTGCTACATGGATAACTCCTCCCCAGTGGTTGGCCGAGTCTGCGTGCGTGTGGTGGGGGGTCGTGACCCTTGGGTGGGGGGTCATGACCCTTGGTTTCCCTGAGGGTGTGTTTTGGGGTCCATCTCATCTGTCCAGTGGGCCTTGTTCAGGTCCAGGTGGCGTAGCATGGCGCGGCTAAGCTGTGTGTTGGAGAACCGGGCCCACTCGCTGAACAGCGGTTCCACTACATAGGACATGAACCCTGTGGAGGATACCACAGCCTTAGATGGTGACCAAACCCAGCCAAGCACGACCTTTGCCCTTTGGCTCCTATAGACGGAGAACCATTTCCAATCTCTCACTCGGCAGCGATGACAATGCCGTCTTACCGGTCTGGATATCGGCGATTGTGTTTGACTGGCTGTCACAAAATGGGCTGACTTCAAGATTGTGTTTCTTTTCTACGTCACCTGTTAAGCAATAAGCACACGTGGTCATTTCGTTTGCCAGAATGACGTCACCGCAAAGGTGTTCAGGAATGTGTTTGTTTGCATATGGATGAGGAGAACAAAGGAGATGGGTGAGCGCTGTACCCTGCTGGAAGAACTCCTGAGTCACCCTCTCACTCCACTGCTTGCTGAGCTCCCAGGGCCTGCAGGGGTTGCAGATATCAGCACACTTCAACGCCATCTGTGGAACGGGCGTACAGGTCAGCTTTTGACGGCCCCCCAGCGACACGCCAGCCCAGCCAATGGGAGGGCCCTCCAGCGACACACCAGCCAACGGGAGGGCCCTCCAGCGACACACCAGCCAACCGGAGGGCCCTCCAGCGACACACCAGCCAATAGGACAGTGGAGCTCCTACCTGGAGGATGAGGTGCCGATGGGCCGAGTTCTCCAGATTGAGGTCGCCACGGTCCAGGTGGCTCCTGAACTGGGACAGGTACTCGTTCTGACGGTTGATGTCAGTGGCTAGAATCAGGGATCCCAATCGTCTCTCTAAGCTCTGCCTGCAAACCCCGACAGAAAGCACTGAAACTGCGTGGCGGCAGGAAGATGAAGCAGCAGACAGGCAGGGATTTACCAACAGCTACATCCCAAAGCTACTGTGGCCCAATGGTCCTACCTGTCCTCGGCTGGTAGGTGGTCCAGCAGCCCGGACTGACGGAGCAGACCCACTGCCGACCTCCAGTGGTGGTTCTCAAGAACAGAGGAGTTCTGAACGTACCAGGTATGGTCAGGATTAACCGAGAGATTTGTAAGAGGAATGAAGAGGGCCAGCTTTTAAGCATGCAGAGATGACTCATACTTCAAAACAGCTTCAGAATAACGTCTGAAGCGTCCCGTGTTTTGCTGTTACGCAACCAGGCCAGTTTCCCGCGCCTGAAGCCACGGGTCCCGCACGCATCGCTCACCTGATACAGGGCTGCCAGGTAGTGCTGCGTCTTGACCAGGAACGGCTGGTTAACCCCAGGGTGGTCGAGGTCATGGGTGGCAGCGGCCAGGAGCCCCAGAAGGATGTCGAATGATGTGAGAGAGGAGACGAGCTACACAGCGATACCCTCCGTCAGTCAAGACCCACAGGTGATCCCGCCTTCCCCACAAGAACAGACCGTCCCCAGCCCAGCTCACCTTGGGCTCCTGCAGGTAACAGTACATGGCCTGGGTCACGTCGGCGGCGTGAACGGCATTGTGGTATGGGTTCTGACGACGGTAGTCCTCCTGAATCATTACTGGCGACATGGAGACCACAACACGTTTACAGATGCCTTGCCCCAAGGCCATGATACTTAACTCATCTACGCGAGGAGTTTATGTTATCCAACTATATAGTTTATACGTCAACTACAAACACACAGACATACACCACAGAACAAAACGCACTTACCTAGAAATCTGTGGAGCTTGACCATGTCTAACTGGAAGAGCTCAATTAATCCGTAATGGTTGAACAGGTGAGCCGTCAGGGTGACAAGGCTATTTCCTGGAAAAATGGGACGAAACGAGCGTCAAGCCATGAGTTACAATCCACTGGGGGTTATTAGGGCACATTAGCGTCTACAGCCAACAACTGCATAGCACTACTAATCAAGAGCGTACCGTTTGTTAATCGGTCGAAGAGAAATATGTCAAAGCTCCAGCTTCCAGCCCTTTCCAGCATGCACTGCAAAGAGGAAGAACTCGATGAATTAGTGTCTTGCGTGACTCCCGCGTGGCTGATATACGAGCAGTAGGAGTGGGGCGAGACCTTAGCTTGGCCGGCGTAGTCCTGATCTAGGACACACAGCTGGCTGCGGTTCGGCTGGCGACACGCAGACCGCGACGGATGACGGTACCTCTGGAAGCTCAGCAGCCTGCGGACACCCCGGGCCGAAACCGGCCCCGCGCGCCCGGGTCGGTCTGTAGGACACAAAAACATGCCACAGAAACCATTCAATCCCCACAAAGGACAAGGATGCACTTTCCCAGCATTTCAGAAGAGGGGCTTTTTTTGGAGCGTGAACATACTACAAGATATTACAGCCACAAATATATACAACATTTTTTAGTGCAAGGAAAATATCTCCAGAAAACGCCTACACAGCTGAAATCAAACAACATGATGTAATACAAATAGCTGCCATATGCATGGAAAACGCAAGGCAAACGCTGGACCAAAACCACGTCTAATGAGAACTTGGTGCATCTCATCTGTGTGTAGATTAGTTGCATCTGTACATCTGGTGTCCAACCATGTGTAGCAGACATTGAATTTCAAACAAGAGGTCAAGCTGTAAGCCAACAATGAGAGAAACATCCCACACTGGATTTAATTAACAGTGGCATTTTTTAATTGATTCCATCACAGGTGTTCTGACGCACCACCAGCAAGATTTAATTCCTAACCCTAATACATCAATCTACAACATTTACACAGATGTAAACATTGTAGATTAATTCCTAACCCTAATACATCAAAGTGTCGTTCCTGAGCGTTCACCCAAAATAAGAACAGATGCACAACTTTTTCCAAGTGCATTCTTCTATAAATATATAGAACAAAAATACTTATGTTTACCTACTAAAACAGACTGTGTAATATGGCCTTGCAGTCTGTCACCACCCTTGTGACAGCTTGTGACACAGGAGTTGTCATTATCTAGTATTTATCAGTTTGTGTACGGAGTTAAGGGACACTCTGCTACCACCACAACAGCAAAACAGCAGCAATTTGCAGTTGTACTTTTATGAATCTAGACAGGTCCATTCTCGCTCTCTCCACCTCGCACATGTGATGATCTCAAACACTCATTCCGGAACTTGTTTTTCGACCTCTTACAGTAATGGCATTTATTTCCTAACGCAAGACACCGAATGTGACGTTAGCCTGTGGAATGTTTGTTTTTCTAAGGTCGGTTCAAAGTATTCCAGCTAGCTGCAGCTATAAATCACACGCATCTTAATGCTCGTCAACAAAACACGTAATGTTTCCCGTTTGAAAACGATGAGTACATTTCAAAGCATGCTGGCGAAACAGCAAGTCTGCTTCTTGTGCTCACAACAGCCTGCCATGCCGGCATCTCCATATCCATGCAATTCTGAAACTTCGTTGATATGAGGCAAGTTTGCCATTTTTTTTGTTTTTTTTAACCTGCACTTTACTCTACAGTTTAACTAGAACTACTTGAGTAGATTAACTCCAGGCTAAGACAAACTGCTCAGGCTTCTGAAGTGATCATAGAAAGGCTTAAGTTAAAAGCAAATCCCTCTTTTATAGCAACTGTCCTTTACAGTGGATTTATGACAACTGAAATGACAACTGAATGTTTTTAGGAGTCTCAACAACTGTAGACCAGGAAACGGGTGAACCGGAATATAAATGGAATGGTCCTTAACTACAATAACCAACATTTATCGTTAATCTAGTCCTGATGCGCAATATACATCAAACGTAACACTGAAAACCCAAACTCAAAGCAGTTAATTGCTTCTGGTAACATTTCAATTCTGATAAACACAGGATGCATGACGTCTACATAATTAAGACGGCTAACCAAACAGGAAGCGAGCAGAGGGGGGTGCTTCCCCTGGCACTTACAGTGCAGAAGCCGGAAGTCCACAAGCAGGTACGGATGAGAGGATCTCGGTTCTGGTTCGAAACCCACCCGGCTTCTGATTCTCACATCTCCTAGAGGACATGAACAAACACGTCCTCAAGACACCCGTGGCGGGAAGTGCCCCCCGTTCGCCTCGGTCAGGCGTCGCCCCAAACAGGAAACGCCAAATCGAAGCCGCTTCTCCTGACTGAAGGTTTCTCCCATTGTTCATCTTCTGTTCAAGCTTCAGGCACCTGTTCAGCTTCACACTTGTATCCCAAATAAAAACCAAAGCTATAGATACCTTTATAATGCATTATAATGGTCAGTAAATGCATTAAGGATGCTTTGCACTGCATTATGAAGGTATTTGTAGTGCATTATAGAGGACAGCTTTATAAGGCAGTCATAATGCATAATAAACATGGCTATAATGTGTTACGACTTTTTGTAAATATTTACAGTCATGCTTACAATGCTTTCTGAATGTATTATAATGCATCATGAAGGTGTTTATAAGTTACTAAAACCATGCCCTTAAGTGTTACCAGAAAACATAATACTAATGCATTTTATTTGTATAGCGCTTTTCAAGGCCCCAAAGATCACATTAGATGAAGAGGCGTAGATGGGTAACAAACACAAACAGGGTAATTATACACAACAAGAGAGTAATACTTGCAAGTTGTTGTATAAAAAAAACACAGGTTAATGATAGCAAAAAATACAGGTTATAGTACAGTACAGCGAAACGCAAAGTGGTTTCGGTCAGACAGCCGTTTCTTCCAATGAAAAAACTTCATGGCATAACAGGCAGGTGGACAGGCCAATGAGAAAAGAGGGCGGCACGTACCGAGCATGCGGATGTAGAGCGCCGTCTGGTCGGAGCTGTCATAGGAGATACCGCCCCGTCTCTGTGGAAGACAGCGTTTCATCCGTGAGACGTGATGTTACCCGTCTGTGTCCGGGGTTACCTAAGGTGTGGTTAGTTTTACCCCATCTAATCAAGAAATCACCTGCAGATTAGCGAGATACAGTAGGAGGGGCCCAAACACCAAGCGCTCAGACTGTTACAACTTAATTCAAGGTAAACAGACCAGCCATCTTCCTACCAGTCAGTTACCAGAGTTCCATTATAAGATCATACCATTTAACATTTCTGCTTTAGAGAGAAGCAATGCAATTGTCACCCCTCACCTAAAATGCTACAATATCACAAACTGGAACATAGAAAATTTCAAGTATTCTTTTCTGTTTTTTTTTTTTGCAAAAATATGGTTTCTAGAAAAAAAATCTAGCTTGAGCGTGTAAGGGCTACTGCAGGGAGATATTACACTGTGCTCTGTTCAGTACGCATGTTGAAATCCCTCCTCCATCAAACACCCACACTTTCCCCGACAGATAGGAGCTTTCAGTTCGTTACCTTGGAACTCAGCTGCAGAGGACTCTGCATGGTAACGCCAGCAGGGGGCGCTATTCAGTTTGTAAATAAATCCAGGGCAGCAAACAGGAGCCAGACTCGTGACTGGAAGGTCCAACGTAGGGTTGTGTATGTTTCTGTACTGATGGCATTTATCCCGAATGGGTTTTGACAAATTATTCTGCAGAGAACTGTTAAGAGTGAAGTGCATCCCAAAGCCTTGATCTCAGGCTGCTTCCTGGCTGTGCAAACCGGTTCGCATTCTCGCCAGTGGTTTAGTCCTCCCCCCACTGGCCTTGTCACTCTGCAGTGACACCCAAATATCAGCTGTGCACCAAAATGCTTCAGGTGGAATTGCGTAAATAGCATTCCCCTCCCAGTGGTTATGACGCTCAACAAGGCCCGACGACGTTAAAGGAGGACATAACTGTGCAGATTCAAGTTACACAGGATACAAGAAATGAGGTACAGAAAGCCTGGTATGAGGAGAGAAGCATTTAACGTTGCTGCGACCCTGCTAGTTTACCACATTAGCGTGAACCAAGATAAACATACTTCCCTGGTGTCCAAGGCAAGAGTCGGAACAGAAGCATGTTATAGAGCTTCCCTCGCTCCCTCCCTCGGGGCCAACTGGCCGACACCACCAGGAAATTCTATGCAAAGTTCTGGAAGCATGCAAAGCAGGTGGGAAGATATTGAAATTTCAAGCTGTTCTTCACATCCCACACACTCGAAGTCAGCATGGGGAGGGGGGTTTCGACGGTCCTGGGCAGGAGGGCAGCGCACGACTCGCAACACCGGTGAGGGAGCCTTTTCCCACGGGGTAGACATGTTGGTGCACAAGCCCGTTGGCGTGTTAGCCAAGTAGTGCACACGCTAATCCACGCGTTGACATGTGATCCGGTTAGGGCAGTGGTGGGACCAACGGGTCCGGCGCTGCCCTCGAGCATGGGTTTGGCGTGCGCTTGGGATGTCAGCATCGTAGGCAATGCGAGGCAGCGCTGTGATCACTCGCTTTCAGGGAAGAAACTGACATCCCGGCTCAGACTTGCAAACGGGATGCAAATCAGATGAGAAGGCCTCTGGGCCAAGCAGAGTTATAGATGTATGACCATTAGACGGGACTCAACCAGAGAATCTAGCTAATGCTAATACGGTCAATCAATGGGGTAAGCCTGCTGCTACCCAAGCTGCCGGCCAAGCCCGGCGCCACCAAAACGCCTCTGACGCCGCGCTCGTTTTTTAAGCTCTGCCAGACGCCGTAAAGGTGAATCACCTCCCCCGATCCAATTATCATTTTGCCTCTGGTCCGAACGGCACGACGTCGGCACTTTAATGACAAGGTGGGGGGGGGTCGGCGCTGGGCTGCCAGCTGACGCAGTTCCAGGAGCCTCGGTAGCGCAGGAATGTGGCCCGGCGACCCTGGCAGAGAACAATAGCGGCTGTGTGGGGGAGACACGCCCACAGCCGAGCATCCCGGCACGCGCAGTGGCGCGCATGGTATCTGTCCAGTGCAGCGCCAGTGCAGACAATGCAGTGCGCCGATGTCACGGGGAACAAAGAGGCTATTCACAGCTGCGGATGGAGCCTCGATGTGTCAGTCACCCGGCCGGGCCACAGCTTCACCCCCCCCCCCACTGCCAAGCCGCGCAATTAAGCGGTAGGAATGCGCCGCAGGTGACAGTGTCGCTCTGCTTTCAGCTGTCAGCCTTTCTAAATCCAGGAGCCGATTAATAATACAAGCGGCACCTCCTCCCCGGAGCTGGGCTCCTCTACGAGGTCCCCTGGCAGCCTGGGGCTCCCCTGTACCACCACTCCTTCACCTGGAGTCTCTTAAACATACACTTATCTAAAGCGATATCCAGTACCAAGTCAAAAGTTTGGACATACTAAGTCACCTACAAAAGAAGTGTTACAGTGTTTGCATGATATGATCCAGCCACATGACCTAAACCGAACAGAACTGGTTCTGGAGGAGTCTGACCAGAGTGAATGGAGGCCAAAGAGTGACCTCCTTCAGGACCGAAGGAAAAGCATCCCAGGAGGCTGCCTCATGGAACTGGTGTACAGGAGACAGTATGTCCAGTAGGCGCTGGGACAACTGGGGTAAGTGCCTTGCTGAAGGGATCATTCTGCCCACCACAGGATACCAACCTTCAGAGTTCCAACCCACAGAGCAGCCCGCCCCCCCCCCCCCAAAACATTTCTGGTCAGTGTGCATAATTCCTCATACATTATAGTCCTGATGTCTTTATCATTATTCTAAAATGCAGAGGATAGTACTTTCATTGGATACGTGTGTCCAAACTTTTTTGCACATTCAAGAAAGCAGGGGGGGAGGGCAGCCATTTCCTGGAGCAACAGGGAGTTAAGAGGCTTGCTCAAGGGCCCAATGGTGAAATCACCCTGCCTACCATGGGATTAGAACTCATGACCATCCAAACTACATACTACCCCCCCCCCCCCCCCCCATCAGTCACACCAGAAGACGGACCCTTATCTCATTGTTTATTGGTTTATTTGACTGGAATAACCCCCCCTCAGGTTGCACATGTCCAGTGTTTATGAACAGGAATCCCAGAACAGCAAAAACAGCTCTACAACTCATTGGTGTTGAAGAGTCAGAGGGCGTCTGATGTCGGAAAAGGCAGGAGAAGATTGCCATGTTCCTGGAAATGTGTAGCGAGGTACGCAGGTCCCAGCGGCGGACAGAGACCTGAGGATTACCTTAGTGATCCAAACAGTCATTAACTTCCAGACTTCAAAAACACCAGGCAGAAGAGTATGGCATAGGCAATAAGCTGGACAGGTTCAACCCAGTGCTGGGGCAATCTCAGATGGGGGGTGGAGGGGGTCACCGACCAACACAAACACTTGTCTTGTTCCCTTTGGGTCACCCGGCAGCTCAAGTATCTACAAAGTCCTGTGTGACAGGCTGAATGATAACGAGATCAAAAGGTCTGGGGTCATAATGAAACACTCTATCCCGTCAGCTAAAGAACCACAATGGCTAAATCAGAAGTTGGTGATTGTATGTGTGAATGTCTGTCGAGGCTCTTTTGGAAATCCGGCAGCATGTGACTGAAAGTCAGATATCTACACCAGATTGGAGTCCCCTCTGCTTCAGCCTACCTGCTGTAAGTTCACATCGGCCTTACTGCTGCTGTAACGGGCTGCATACACAGGTCACCGGTGTCTTTCAGCACAGCACTAAATTTTTAATAGGGTCCTTTAAGCACATTCTGGCTGCCAACCAAGAATGAGGGGCGAAAGAAAAGAAGAGATTTATGAAAAGCAAATTACAGTGTGGACTGAATACAGAGGGCTGACACTTGTTTGACAAAAGGACATGAGAGCAGTTCTCCGAAATGCTGCATATTTTGTGGCCTCTGTCAATCCACAAAGGGGGCTTCCAGATTCCATCCTCGTTGCCCAACAGATATGGCCGAGTCCAGGGGCAGCCTCAAGATACAGAGATTCCAACAATGGTCCCAGACAGTCCCCGGGTCTCAGAGAACAGGATCTAACCAGGTCCCGGTCAGTCCCCGGGTCTCAGAGAACAGGATCTAACCAGGTCCCGGTCAGTCCCCGGGTCTCAGAGAACAGGATCTAACCAGGTCCCGGTCTGTCCCCGGGTCTCAGAGAACAGGATCTAACCAGGTCCCAGTCTGTCCCCCGTTCTCAGAGAACAGGATCTAACCAGGTCCCAGTCTGTCCCCGGTTCTCAGAGAACAGGATCTAACCAGGTCCCGGTCGGCCGTCAGAGACAACCCGTCAGACTACGTCGGTGCGTCGATGCGCAGGTGGGGTCCAGGTGAATGACAATTCAAAAGCCCTGCATGAAAGGTTGCAGGTCTGGGGGGGGGGGGGGGGGGGGATGGGTGGCCTGCAGTCATTTCCAATCAGTCGAGGGACCCTTGAGCGACACTTAAGCAGCAGCTGAAATGCTGGTTTTCCCCTCCAAGAGGCCACAGGTCTATACACACATAGGCGGAACCCAATGGACAGCCATCGCACATCTATCACAGCACTAATGGCAGCCCACTGTATGGGCATTCGCGTCAACTGAAGGCTCCACAGCAAGCCAATAATCTTGCATGCAGGGTGTCCAGATGTTTATAATTGAAAAGTAATTATAGAATTGGTTATTGGGTCAATGTCATAATCACCAGCCATCCACACAGCAAACAGAAGAAGTTGTTTTAGCGGAATCATATACAGGCTTTAATACTGTTAAGACAAATTCAGTCAAACTATGACCTCATGCATGGGTTTACATATTCAACAAGAGGAGAGACGTCACAAAACCCCCCGCAGCCGTTCGCAGTAGCAGGAAGATCAAACTATGACCTCATGCATGGGTTTACATATTCAACAAGGGGAGAGACGTCACAAAACCCCCCGCAGCAGTAGCAGGAAGAGATTAGCTGGGGAGAGAATCACGGTTCACTCTCAACTCTGAGCTGCAGGTGTACAGGAGACCCCCCCCCCCCCCCATTTAAATAAATAGGAAAAAAAAAACACTAATTTTGCCAAGTCCAAGCCTTAAATTAATGAAACATTAAATACAGCAGTGGACTGTGATGTCAGATTCCTTCATAAAGTGAACTTTATGTTACTAAATCAAGACGTAGTGAAATGCATTTATGCCAAATACAAATACAAACTGACGTCTATAACATGAACTTTATCAACAGCCCCCCCCCCCAAAAAAAACCCAAAAAAACACACTGTGAGGCAGTAATTTTACACAAAGCATTTAAATCATGAGCTTAATGACCATCTGATGGTACTATGGTACAGTGGATATCAGACACAGCGCATTGCTGTATTCCTGTTTATACCACCAGAATAACAGACGTCCCCCCTAATGGACATGAACGATGTTTATTTAATGCTAGTGCTATTTGCTGCCAATGACTCAACACAAACATGTGTCACCAAATAGGGTTTCTGAAAGCCTCACGTCTGTTAGTCAACAGTAATAAAATTACTGTCAGCTCGCACCAAGCAGATGAAAATGTCACATTTTCACGGGGGGAAGCCCTCTGAAATCAACACAGCGGATAATCCTAATATTCCAGGGCATGGATGTAAATTATAGGGGGGTGGGGGGTTGTAATCCCCTCAATAATCAAAACCAGCCAATACCTCCCTCTGGACCCCCTTAAATGGGTGGAGACCTTATCCCCTCCCCCCAAAGTTATGCAGCTCCAGGGAGCGTGCAGTGAGAGCGCCTTGTGCAGGCCTTCACACACGGTTAATGGATGCAGGACACAGACAGGTAGGCGCTGAGGTATACATCCGGGCTTCGGGTTAATCGGTCCTGCACTCAAGTAGGATCAGGTTGCACCAGATTCAGTTCATCCACTCGCAAGCCAAGAGCATCTTTTCAGGGGCTGCCAAACTTGTAACCCCAGGACTGGTCCTCACATTCAAAAAGCACGTTAAACTGGACTAGCTGACAAATGCTGATAAATGCAAACCTTTTATTTTCACACTGCGTTAACCTGGGAAACTGACAGTTGATTATAAAGAAATATGGTCTCATAAAGTCGGTTGAACCCACTGGTGCACATACATAAAATCATCCCAAATTGTAATATCAGGGGATTACAAGGGATTCCCTGAACACTTATGGTGCTTCTACTAAAACGTAACACAGACATGTTATGCAGCATCATTCCCAAAGGTCTAGGCCAGCATGGGCAGATTTAAAATACCAAGAATCACCCCCTCAAATCCATAAATCAGGAAGGTACAAGCCAAAAGGCATCCTGATCTCACGTTACCTGTGACAGTTTCCTGGGATCGGGGCCCCCGAAGAGAGACGAGGATGAACTGAAGCTGATGGCTCCCCTCCGGCTGAGGACATGCTTGGGAACCGGCCGATCCAGGGGCAGAACCGGCAACTGATAGCATACTTCCATTGAACAGTCGCCGCTAAGTCCGGGGACAGAAATGCAATTAAAAAGCAAAGTTACAAAGGCGAGGAGTCGGTCGGCAGAAGTGAACAGGAAGCCCCATAAAAGGACAATTCTTTTGTTTTGCGAAGAAATCTCGGTTAGAGGTTTAATGTGCAGCTTTAAAGATGCCGAAGTACTTTTGATGGGAAAGACCGGGGCGCCGCGCGGCCGCCGTCATGGAGCAAACAGCGATCCTCTCCGCTCACGTGTCCCGTCCCCTTTTATTCATGCAGCCGCTTTTCACACTTTCCCCCCTTTTTAATCCGGATCCTCCGGGCCTACAGCACACCGGGCCTGTGCATTTTAATATCTCTTTCAAAAACAGCTTCCTCATTTTTAAAAAACATTCTTCATAGCCCTCACCGATCGAATAAATGACTGGTAAAATACAAAAAGCGCAATCTCTAAAAATACTGAATTAGTGTTCGTTTTCCCTTTTTTAATGATCCTCGGTAACACAAAAGAGCATGCATTTACAGGGGGTCGTTGTTTCCCATCCTGCCTGAATGCTTGCGGCGGCCACAGGGGAAAGTATCGAAATTCATTCAGTCCCTTTCATCGCAGGCAAAGATTGCAGCTGTAATTCCGCCTAATTCAATGCAGCCGCTGGACAGAAATAAAAAGTGGCTTGGTGGTTTACAAACAATATTTCGGCTTATTCTGCAGTAATAAAAACCCATTTGTTGCACAAAAAATGAAAATAAAATCGAAATAAAAAAGGAAAGGAAAACAAAAGACGAACCACGGAGGTACGTTTGTTTCCTATCACAACCTCTGCTCTCTCGCTAAATACTGCCTCCTGCCAGAGAATGGGGCTGCTTCACAAAAGCTGCCCTTCCGTTTGGTCCAATTGTGTCGTTCTGGTGTATATGGCGCCGAATTTGATTGGATATTACAACAGGGTATTTATGTTACAGCAAAGTTCATTGGGTAGCCGGGAAGACGATTTCGCAGACTTCATTTATGCTGTTGTTAACCTAATGCACGCAGATGAAGTAGGCGGGCCGATACAAAGAGGTTCGCCTTCGGTCGGTCTTCATTAACGGAGGAAATCGTCTTATTCGCGTTGCACTCATTCGAACACTTATACGCGTATGTTTGCATATATAAAACACAAATTTTCCTTAAATGGTATTCATTATAGTTACACAAATGATAGCGTTGAACAGAATAAAGCGATTAAACTGAATTGTAGCACACAAACAGTGCTATTAACAATACTTAACCGATAAACTGACATAATGGAATACCGAAATAAAAAAAGATTTTGCTCAATGGAAGGCGGAAGCCATTCAGTTTTTAAGTTCTCGTTCTTAATTTTTTCCCAATCAATGCGGGCGCCGAGGTTTGCTGACTTTTCCAGAGATATAATGTCTATGTGCTGCTGCTCTGATTTAAAGAGAGCAAACAAGCCATTCGTTTTCATCGACCTCTTACCCAGCTGGTTTTGCGGTGAGAGCAGATAACGTTAAACAGAAATGAAAATTAAGTCAGCAGCTATTTACTCGGGGCCTAGTAAATCAGTTACTTTTGTTTAATGGCCGATGCTGTTTTAAATGCATCGAAATTGCATGATTCTTGACAAAAAGAGATCTTTGCGGGGTAGCCTATTGGAAATCCACACAGTTACGTGTCGTTAAAATGCCTGTATTGTATTTGATTAAAGTTATCTCAGTATACTTTAGAATCCATTAGTCCTGTTTTTGATTGGCATTTATGAGTGATTGTAGATATTCCGCAAGCTTGTATCATCCCGGTACTTTCATTATCTCCCATAACAGTTTGGGTGAGCTGGCGAATCTGCATCGCTCTAGTTCCTGCTGCTACTGCCTGGTTACATGTTTGAATTTGTGTGACTGTCCTATGATGGCGTGGCTGGTATCTGCTCCAGATGTTTTCATGCATCTGGCACAAGGACTCAGATTGCTGTGACACTTTTTAGGAGGTTGGAGTTCCTCATTCCACTGCTAGTCCAAGCAAGGGCATCGGGGGGCATGGATGCCCTGGCAGATATAGGGGGTCCAGCACTAGACAGGGGCCCTAAAAATGTTAAATTGTGTGTGGGGCCCCAGAATTTCTAGGTGCACCCCTGAGTTCAAGCATAATCACAATAGTGACAAAACAGAGACATGCTAAGTCTTTAATGACTGATATAGATGCTGGTAATAGTTTCTCGCCGTAAACCAATATTCATCTTTTAATTACAAGTGTTGTTTGCACAAAGCAAAGTTCTTAATTCTGTTGTTTCGCTTGTCATTTAGCTTCAGATTATTTATCTTGGTCAGAGTTGCACAGGGCTTGGAGCTTAATAACCCAGACAGGACAGGGCGTGAGGACACTCAGGACAGCACAGCAGCTCACTGCTGGGCACACAGCAGTATGGGTGATTCAGTGATGTCACTTCATGTAACTGCATGTCTTTGGACTGTAGGAAAACAAAACAGGTATACGGTGCAAACACACAGAGAGCAGAGCTAGGATTCAAACCCACAACCCTGGTACCGTGAAACGACTGCATTGCCCATTGAATCCCAATGCATTGTGCTTTTTTCTGCTCTATTTCATAGAAAAAAAAGATGCTACAGTCACATTTACAAACAACATTTCTCCCTTCCATATATCCTCCTTAATATAGGACTCAAGCTCAGAGGGACAACATCTCAAGAGACACTAATTTCATTAATGACCCCTGAGGTTTCACGATTTCCCCCACACACCGATCCCTACACTGTCCTGGGGGAAACGGGAGGGAATGGGAACCAGGAGCGCAGGTGAATGTGGCGAGTAATCGCCAACAGATTATCCCTCAGGGGATGTGGAGACTGGAGCGGATGTCTCCATCATTAAATCTCAGTATTTTTATATTTTATATACATATCCAGTGTTTCTGTGTCCGGTAAATGTATCCAGTTTATCTATGTCAATATGTGAATGGCAGAAAGGATACGTTTTTTCCTCAAAGAATAGCTTTGTTTGCCTCTATAGTAGTAGACAGTTACATTTTTCAGTGTCTGGGACACAAAACTATTTAACTGAATGTGTTTGCTTAGCTATGCTGTGTGAATATAGCTAGACAATTGAGATTCATCATCCTGAATATTAGAAGTACATAATGAGCCTTATGTCTTCTATTAATAACCCCTTACTACGAGAATCTGCAGGTCACAAATGAGTTTTCGATAGTTAATGGAAACCCAGATATCAAACTATAAGCATCGCTCTCACACTTGAGCACTTATAGCGTATGATCTCGGATATTCGTACAATATAAAATCCACGAGAGGGTGCTAGCATACCACTGGTTGCGTGTAGTACCTCGATTTTAACGTTATATGGACTACAAGAGCCAATGAACAAAACCCTTAAATAGCTATTAAAGTAACAACATAATAAAATATTAGCTTAACATATGCGTTATAGTAAAATATCTGTTATGAAAATATATTGATTAAATGTAAAATTGTGTTTAATAGTAGGATAGCATGCTAAATAAACCGCTAAGAGTGAATTTTACAGTTACACAGCACTACACGCTGTATAATTTTCAAATACCACACATGAGGAGTCTAAATGGTCTCGGAAGAAAAGATTCACCCTCCTTCGAGCCGGATTCGAACCAGCGACCTAAGGATGTCAGCGTTGCCTCTACAGTCCTCCGCTCTACCAACTGAGCTATCGAAGGGGCACGGCTATACTTTTCGCTTGTTGAGCTGATATAGACAAACTGATTACTCTTTTTGGTTTGCTTTTGTGTTTTTGATTATTACATTGTTACTTAGCACATCTGCATGTTTGAGTTTACAATGGCACATTTTAAACGCAGTATATAACACGTTATATACGTTCAGATTCTGACGTAAGCAAGTACGTAAGCTTCGGGGAATTTGGTAGAGCGCCCTCTTAGCACGCGAGAGGTAGCGGGGTCGATGCCCGGGGCGCCAGCTGTTTTACCTTTGGAAGCTTGTCGTAAACATTGTTTCTAATGTTGTGTCTAATGTTAGAACGAATGAGAGGTACATTACTAGTATGAACACGGTCTAATCTGACAAGCAAGTTTATCGGCCGTTACTTTTTGCTGCATGCTGCCTGTCAGAAAAAAAAAACAAATCGCGAGCCGTGACTCTTTTGATTAGTTTGTAAAGAGCAAAAGGACCATACCCCTTTCAAAATTCGATCACGACATACTAGCTAATCTCAGATTACATCTGACAGGACGTTACTGATGTTTATGCGGGAGCAGTGACGAGTTTGGATTAATCACCAAAGTGTTAACGGTTTTTTTTTTTTTGTAATGCAGTTTTATCATTTGTCTCATAATGCGTTAAATACCCGTAAAAAATTGCCAATATCTTAAAAATGCTGTTGGGGTGAGGTTTTTTTTTTTTTTTGCTTATCATCATGAACGGTTGCACGACAAAAGTAAGTTGTGTTTTGGAAGAATGCGACTCTGGATCCGACTCAGGGTTGCTCACGCTCCCGCAAGAAATGTTACGGCAAATCTATACTATTCCATTATAAACCTAAAATTGGGTGCATTAAAAGCGCTGTGGCAGTTTGCAAACCCTACAGGCTATTTACATAGTAATAAAACCATTACATACATATCAATACGTGTGCATGCGCGTGCAGACTTATCAGCCCCGCAGACTGCTGCAGGCACGCGCTGACCAGCTCAGCGAAGCCCCGCCCCTTCCTGTGTCGGGGTGACACCAGCTGCTGTTGCCTGTGCTGTTTGCATATATGGTCAAGTGAGCATGGCAACCTTTGACGTACTGGCTTCTAAAAACAGCGTTGACCCCCACTGCTTGACCATGCTGCAGTGCCAGCTGGGAAGGGAAGCTCATAGGAGTCATTTGGATAAGTCGGCATTGTTTTGAGGGGGGACGAAAACAGCCTCTTAGCCGAGTCATATCTTTTGGGGGCTGAATCCTTTCCCTCAAAACACACACACACCCCACCCAGGGCTTTGTGCCGTGTGATGAGCGTCTCAGTGGAGTACTTATATACCAAGAAGCAGAGCAGCATGGACAGCCTGGAGAAGCAGCTCATCTGCCCCATTTGCTTGGAAATGTTCACCAAGCCGGTGGTGATCTTGCCCTGCCAGCACAATCTCTGCCGGAAGTGTGCCAGCGACATCTTCCAGGTACGTTCCTAGCAAATGCTTTTCGGCCCCTGCTGATGAATATGTGAATATCGGTTCAGATTCTGCTGGTAACACTTTGCATTCTCTGGCATTTAATTAATATGTTTTGCCTGCTCTTTGCGATGTTCCTGCTTACTGCGGTGAATATTGTCACCCATGCAACGACGGGAAGTGCAGTTTTGGGTTCAGATTTGCCCACTTTTTCTGTTTTCCTGTGGAGTTTTTATCTATTATTACTGGATCTCCGTTGCTGTTTCCAGGCCTCAAACCCATACCTGCCAACCAGGGGGGGCACCACAGTAGCATCAGGGGGCCGGTTCCGCTGCCCGTCCTGTAGGCATGAGGTTGTTCTGGACCGACACGGTGTGTATGGGCTGCAGCGTAACCTGCTGGTGGAGAACATCATTGATATGTACAAGCAAGAGAGCAGCAGGTGAGACACCCCCCTCCCCCTTCGAAGCCTAATGGAAACTGGACAGTCTAACATGAACAGTCATACACATATTCACATGCTATAATTTCACAAACTGCTGTTTACATGAAGCTGAAATGTCTGTTGAATGGGGAATATTGTCACATGCATCATTGACCTGCCTGTGGGGGGGGGGGCAGCTGGGAAGGCAACAACAGGGACTGTCGTCACCGTAATTATTATCGAGAGTTATAATGAGTCATCACCGCGGAGGCCGACAATATACTCCTGTGTACAAACAACTACTGGGACTTTAATGGTCACCGAACATATAGGGAGAAACGCTTACAGAAACGGGACCTGAGGCTGACGGAATCATGGACCGAACCTCTCCGAGGGAGTGATGTCCACATAAACGATGGCGACAGTGGGAGGGACCTTGAACGAAATGCAGAGCATTAATCACAGAATTACAGGCTATTTGTCACGCACAGGGAGACATTCCCTTATCTCACTAATACCAGAGTGCCATGGTTCTCTGCTAAGCCAGACTGGCCATTTATGTTTGCATTTATATAGCCAAAGAGACATATAAGTGAAGCAGATAATGTATAGCAAGTACATAGCTGTCGGGGGCCTAGTTTATGATGTCAGGCTGAGCTTCTAGTGATTGACCAGAAACATCTGTGGGGTGGTTGTGGGCAAAAGCTATAAAACACTCCTTAAAACCTCACATTTATACTCAGAAATGCTATAACCTTGTCATTAAGTAGACAGACCCAGGCACAACATATAATATAAGAAAGTCTACTCTATATCTAATGAGAGAAATGGTTCTTTCTTATAACTCTGCACTTAAAACTGAAGATTTTACTGGAGATTTAATCTCTTGGGAATGTCTTTCTAATTCTGACAGATTTATTGTTATTTATTTATTTAAAATTTGGAGTTAAAATTCCTGACCGAAGTATATTATTTGCAGATGCAAAAGTGACCAATAACCTGAAAGGATACTGGTTTAGTGTACTGTATGACATTCAGAAAATGTCTTTTGGAAAATAAATCTCTGCAGGTGAACAACTAGCCAGTGAGGACTGCAGAGTTAAAGCTCTCCTCTCTTTGAACTTTTGGTTGATGTGTATTTTTTATCATCAACTATAAACAAGTTCTACGGCTGCTGGTGACTGGGACCTGGCCAGTAATGTGAATTTCCCCATCATGTGCCCAGAATGTCAGCTGACCATATAAGCGAGAATATCAACAACAACATCTCAAACTCCGAACTTCTCACCTTACATCCTATGTAAGGTATGACAAATATAATGTATTATTTTTAAAGTTTACACATTCAGAAAGGAATCTGTAGTCCAGCAATTCAAACAGTGACTACATCTCACTTAAAGAATATCCATTGTTGCTTTCGCATTGTGGTTCCCTTTGTACTGCATTCATCAGCCTCCCTCTGTTGAAATAACAGAATCATTTGTTAAACTATGAAAGCTTATTTTTCTCCGCAACATAGAACACAAATTTAACAGCTGTAAGTGAGACTGACATCTCCATTTCCATGACGGAAAGGCAGAGTTGTTCATTTAATAGCTTGCATTCGTCAGCACTTTGTAGAGTTTATGAAGACTGTAATATGCAGCTTAACTTATTTAAAGAGGATGATTTTTTAGGCTGCCTAATAAGGGGAGGCATGCCTAGATAACCTACATCTCATCATTCATTAGATAAGGGGGGAGTTACATTACCATGTTGGTTTATTATGGTAATTGACTTCTTCATTTCTGTATTCGGGGGTGTGTTGCAGTGTTTGCGTGTGAGTATAGCTAATCAAACTCAAAGGGGAAACCCCCGCCAAGGTCCATGTTAAGTACAACTGCTCCTCTGTCACACAGTTTTGACTTTACTGTCCATGAAACGGCTGCTTCTCTTTTGAGGTTTTGGATTCAGTGGTCAGAGGTCTGGCCCACCAGAACATGTGGTAATGCTTTACATTCAGTGCACCCTCATAATGCATTATTAATGCATTCCTATAACACTGAGTGCACCTTCATAACGCATTTACATTGCATTCATACAACATTAATAAGCAGCATTTAAGTATCCCTTAATATGTCTGGTTTATTTTCAAGGTCTCATCTATGTTGCATCATGGACACCTCCATAACATACTATAAAGCAGGGGTCTCCAACTCCGGTCCTGGAGAACCTCTATCCAGTACGTTTTCTATCCTACCTGGCTTCTGATGAGCCACAGCTGCTCTTGGTATTTACCTGAGAACTAGTGTGGCTCATCAGAAACCGGGTAGGATAGAAAACGTACTGGATAGAGGCTCTCCAGGACCGGAGTTGGTGACCCCTGCTATAAAGCTTCTGTAAAGCATTAGAACGGTTGGGTTCCTAACCCAGAGACCCACACACCAACCATAGGATCTGATTGTTAGGAGATGACTTAGCCATCCAGATATAAACCAGTTTCAAAAAGCCTTCATTACCCCATTGACTTCCAGTGAGGTTTACTGAATGGCCTCTCAAGTTCCCTGGTTACAAAACTGTTGTGGATTTGGGATAGTTTTTTTTAGATCAGAAGCTGCCAGAGTCCATCCAGGCGCAAGGTGTTAAAGCTCCCTTTAGCTACGGCGATGCTGCATGTTTTCAAAGCCTTTGGCCATTTATTAGCTCACAGACTTGCTGATAGGGGATGTAACATCAACGAGACCCATGGTGGGCCATGACCTCATAAACAATATGTTTTCAAAGCCTTTGGCCTTTCATTAGCTCACAGACTTGCTGATAGGGGATGTAACATCAACGAGTCCCATGGTGAGCCATGACCTCATAAACAGTGGTCCAATGCAAGCACTGAAACATCAGGCTGACTGATGGAGCAGTAATGGCATCTCCCTATTCATTACAGCATCTGTCGAAACAACAGTGCCCAATTAAAATTTCAGTTCAATTCAGTTTCACTTGTATAGTGCATTTTCACAACATTACATTCTCTCAAAGCGCTTTACATAACCCCTCCCCAAAACCCCTAGTGAACAAACCAGGAGCAACAATGGCAAGAAGAAACTCCCTAGAAGGAAAAAAGCTTGGGAGCCCATCCTCCAGGGGGCAGCAGAGGAAGCCCTAACCCTAACCAGACTCAAAGGGGGAGCCCATCCTCCAGGGGGCAGCAGAGGAAGCCCTGACCCTAACCAGACTCAGAGGGGGAACCCGTCCTCCAGGGGGCAGCAGAGGAAGCCCTAAACCTAACCAGACTCAGAGGGGGAGCCCGTCCTCCAGGGGGCAGCAGAGGAAGTGAAAGTCCGATGAGCAATATCCCCCCGAAGGCTGTATCTACAGAATCACTACTGCTGACGAAGCCCAATTAAGGAGAGGTCATTGTGAAAATCTTAGACAACAAAAAGTGATAGTCATTGAACAAGTCTGCCATGGTGGGCTCCATCTTGCACGCCTGCGAGATCATTGCAGTGTCTGGCGGAACACCAGGATTTAACCAAAGAAAGACAGTAACCAAGCGCCTGAAGCTGCAAAAGATTGTCTCCTTATTACCAGAGGTGGAGATTTCAGGTCTGGAGAGTACAAATCCAGACCAAGATTTTGTTTCAGTCAACCAGTTGTGTGCTCTGTGTCTGTGACTCTTTATACTCAACTTGTTGGTTGAAACAAAATCTTGGTCTGGATTGGTACTCTCTGGACCTGAAATCTCATCCATTCATTGAACATTCAGCATGGCTGTCAGCAATTTCTTCTTGACTGCTGATGAAAGACTATATTATGAGAATACTAGTAATAATTAATTGAGAGCTGTATATAAATAGTTTGAGTCACAACCTCAAAGCAACCTTGACTGTGTTTGTGAACGTTGGCAGCGGAGGCACCAAGCCCAGTCCGGAGAGGAAGAGTGAGCAGCCCTTGTGCGAGGAGCACGAAGATGAGAGGATTAACATCTACTGTGTGACCTGCGCCAAGCCCACCTGCTCTCTGTGCAAGGTGTTCGGCTCTCACAAGGACTGTCAGGTGGCTCCTCTCAACAGCGTCTACCAGACACAGAAGGTGAGTCTCCCTCACACACACACACCAAGACACGCACATAGACCTTTGTTGACTGAATCATTTGTAATATTAGACTTGATGTGTCGCTCATCAAGTTAAGCTGCTGTGCTCCTGATCCGGATATCGCCGCTTCAAATCCTAAGTTCAATGGAGTAATTTGGCTGTTGAGCCCTCAAGCAAGACCCTTAACTCTCAATTGCTCTGGGACTGTCGTACCCCGCTTTCCCCAAAACAATAGACATTTTGAGTAAAAGTGACAGCTAAATAAATATTTATAGATAAAGTACACTATATGGACAAAAGTACTGGGACAAACCTCTTAGTCATTGAATTCCAGTGTTCTATTCAGATGCATTGCCAAGATGAAATCAAGCATACCAGCCATGCAGTCAGGTTTACACACATTTATGAAAGAATGGGTCGTTCTAAAGAGCTCAGTGAACTCAAGGTTGGTCCTGTCATACGATGCCACCTGTGCAATAAGTCAGGTCATGTAATGACTTCCCTGCTAGATATTCCAGTGTCACCTGTAAGTGGTGTTATTGAAGTGGAACCATTTAGGAACAACAGAAACTCAGCCATGAAGTGACAGACCACGTAAAGTGACAGCGCGGGGGGGGGGGTATGGGCAGTGCTGAGGCGTATAGTGCGTAAAAGTCGCCAGTGGTGGGCGGGGGGGGGTTGGTGCTGAGGCATATAGTGCGTAAAAGTCGCCAGTGGGGGGGATGCTGAGGCGTATAGTGCGTAAAAGTCGCCAGTGGTGGGCGGGGGGGGGTTGGTGCTGAGGCATATAGTGCGTAAAAGTCGCCAGTGGGGGGGGCGGTGCTGAGGCGTATATTGCGTGAAAGTCGCCTGTGCTTTGTTGACTCAGTAACTGCAGAGATTCAGACTTCCTCTGGCACTAACTTCAGCACAGATACTGTGTGCAGGGAGCTTCATGGAATGGGCTTCCATGGCCGAGCAGCTGCATGCAAGCCTCACATCACTAAGGATGTGAGAACGTTACCTGCCTGACTGCATTGTGCCAACTGTACAGTTAAGTTTGGTGGAGGAGGGATAATGGTGTGGGGTTGTTTTTCAGGGATTGGGCTGGGTCCCTTAGTTCCAGTGAAGGGAACTCTTAATGCTGCAGTATACCAAGACATTTTGGACAATTCTATACTTCCAACTTTGTGAGAACAGTTTGGGGAAGGACCTTTTCTGTTCCAGCATGACTGTGCCCCAGTGCACAAAGCAAGGTCCATAAAGACACAGTTGAGTGAGTTTGTTGTCGGAGAACTAGACTGGCCGACACAGAGCCCTGACCTCAACCCCATCAAACACCTTTGGGATGAACTAGAATGGAGACTGCAAGACAGGCCTTCACATCCAACGTCAGTGACTGACCTCATAAATGCTCTTCTGGATGAATGCGCAAAAATTCCCACAGACACACTCCAAAATCTTGTGGAAAGCCATCCCAAAGGGGGACCAACATCAAACTGACACGTATGAATTTAGGATGGGATGTCATAAACATTCCTATAGATGAGATGGGCAGGCGCCCGCCCAGGGTTGGTTTCTGCCTGCGCCCCTTGTTCCCGGGATAGGCTCCGATCCCCCCCGCAACCCCAGTTGGGATTAAGCGGATTCATAAATGGATGGATGGATGGAAATGGGCAGGTGTCCCAATACTTCTGTCCATATATTGTAGCTTATGAAATGACAGATATAATAGATCATATCACAAGATGTTATATTAATTCATATCAGTTAAATACACCGTTAAAGCTGGGATGTATAACATCTTGCACATGTTTGCCTTTCTGTATGTGAATTTCTCTGTTTAAATGTGTAACAGTGATGATCCTCCATGTGTTTGTGTGCCTATTTAGTCGGAGCTTTCAGACAGCATCGCTATGCTCGTGGGTAACAATGACCGGATGCAGGGCATCATCAGTCAGCTGGAAGAGATGTGCAAGACTATTGAAGTGAGTTTCCCTTTCAAGCAGACCTGCAGCTGGACACACCCAGAAAACATGCAGGCCACGCCCACACGAGCAGAAGCCACGCCCACCTGGACGTGTCACTGGGGAGCCTCTCCCAGGGACAAGGCGGGTTACACCTTGATTGGGATGCCGGTCCATTCCACTGTACATGCAGATATACTTTCAGTCGCTAACTGTGAAATTTAGACACCCCATTTACTCTGGCTGCAGCGAGAGGACATGAAAATTCCACAAACACATAATGGAGACAGGATTCAAGCCCCAAACTCTGGTGGAGTGACGCAACAGTGCTAAAGTTTACAGTTAACAGGATAACAAAATGTAAAAGCTTAAAGAGCACCCCCTAGTGGAGGCTGGAGAAACCTGGCCCGCATCCAGCCTGCAGTTGTGTCCGATCCTCTCTTCCCACCCAACAGACCTCTGACACCTCTTGTAGGAAAACGGCCGGAGGCAGAAGTCACAAGCGTGTGAGAAGTTCGACAACCTCTACTCCATCCTGGAGGAGCGAAAGGCCGAGATGACCCTGAAGATCAACGCCGAGCAGGAAGAGAAGCTGGACTACATCCACAGCCTGCAGAGAAAATATGGGGATCATCTGGAGATGATGTCCAAGATTGTGGAGACTGGTATCCAGACTATGGATGAGCCTGAGATGGCTCTGTTTCTGCAGGCAAGTAGATATGAACCTTCGGGATAATAAAAGCATTTTGATTCTGATCACCCATCTTCTCTGGCAGGCATGGAGCTTATTTATTATTTATGCAACCAGAATGTGCATCACTCATTAAGACATGATATGTATTAAACCATAATCTTTGTGTTCTTTAATGTGCTTTCCTCTTTTTTTTACAGAATTCAAAGCCTCTTCTACAGAAGTAAGAAACTTTTTCATGTTTTGGGTTTTGTTTTACAGCAGTGTTTCACAATCTGGCCCACGTTTCTGCTCCCTCCCAGTTGCAAAAATGTGGACTGTCTGTGAGTCCCCAAAGATCGGTTTGGCAAACACTGTTTTAGCTCAAGGGAGATTTACTTACACAAAAAAATGTTCTAGGTCATATTCAAAGAGATAACCAATCAGATTGTAGGGGAGATGGGTTCAAGCAACTAGAGGAGGTGGGACCAACCAATCAGATGTCTTGGTCTGGCCTCCTCTAGTTGCTTGGACCCACCTCCTCTACAACCTGATTGGTTATCTCTCTGAACCAATCATTTTTTTGTTCTGCCCTCAAAACATTTCTGTGTAAGTAAAACTCCAATTGATCAATGTTTTTGGGTTTTTAAAGCAACCAGCATGCACCAATTCTCCTAAGCTTCTCTATATACTGTTAGGTGAAATGTGATCTTTTCCTTGGTCAGGATCACAGAAGCCTCTGACATCTCCCACTTGGAAAAGGTGGAGCGGGGTTATGAGAATATGGATCACTTCACTGCCAGCTTTCAGCGAGAGGGCAGTGCTATCCGTAACGTAGACTTTCTCAAAGGT